ACACAGAAGTAGTCTTGTCCTTTGGGATTATGCAGATCAGCGGGCAACTAGAGAACGCTACACTCAGTGTACCCGAGAAGGACGCTCTTCTTAAAAAAGTGGAAATTCTCCTCCTAAGGAAATCACTTTGTAGGACACCTTTGAAGCCGAGGTATCTTTTTGACACGGATGGCGTCTCTTACTTTTGGATTTTCTGTTTGACGTTTTCGTCTATAAATCTTAGTGGATATTAATTTTGTATGAGGATTTCTGTGCGTCGGTGGCACAGTGGTTAGCATGCTCGCCTACCATGCACGTGGTCCGGGTTTGATCACCGGCCGACTCACTCCTTTACCTCACTTATCCAGTAATAGGACTGGTAAAAACGGAAGGCTGGACATGAGGCTAGCAACCTCATCCTGTAAAAATAAACACTCCTACAGAAACTTCAAGTCTCTCCATCTTGAAGCCGTATGTTTCACTAGGAAAATGAAGGAAATTTTAAAAAGTATACAATTGGTGGATGGTGGCTAGCAGTGGAATCCAGCTGACGAGTCCCAAATAGGACGAAATGCGCATCCTGGATTCCACTGCTAGCCACCATCCACCAATTGTATACTAATTAAATGCCCAGACATAGTCGAAGCATCTGCACAAGAAGCCGACATGTCAACCTGAGACCGAGCACTTCGGTCCAATCAATCGACGGGAAAATCAAAAATTCAATTCGAAATTTTTAAAAATATGAGGATTTCTATCAGGAAGTATAGTTCTTCTTCTAGGGTATCAGAACTGCAGATGCGTCGGACGTGAGTGGCAAGAGATCGAATTGGGTTTCTTTTTCGACTGACTGGTACCCAGCTGTAGAATGTTGTCAGTTGGCCGCTCCACTTCGGTTTCCTATGGATGGTTTTCCATCAGCTCTTCCTGTAAGCTCAACATGAGGAGGAAAAATTTTCGATTCGTTCTCTTTTTCAAGAGTAAACTTTGTGGTTGAACGGCGATTGTTGAATATTTGTAGTAACTGATTAAGATTGTGACCGTCATCACAGGTAATAAAGATGTCGCCCAGATATCCAGCATTATCAATAGTTGATTTAAGTGGGCCGTTTAGGAGATTTGTATACTCCCTTTCAGTTAGTTCGGTGGGACAGTTGTAGGGAAACTAGTAACGAGCTTGACGACGGTACAAAATATCAGAATAAAAATCCAAGTTTGTGAAAGAAATTTGTAACAGTATGTTATAAAAATAGCATTTAAGAAGTTGTAGAAATTAATGATTACCTCATGACACAGTTAAAGTCCGTTGCTACAAATTATTTAAATAATTCATAGAAGCGTTCGCTACTATGGTCATGCCTACTAGTAGAAGTCGTGCACTGGTTGCAGAATAGTCTTCGGATGGGGATGAGTGGTTCCTAAAAACTACAGTGGATACAGCATGGTTAGTAGCGAAGCAAGTAGACAGTATGGACCAGTGAGAAGACGAAGCGAAGAGCAGCACTCTATAATTGAGATTGCAATCCAAAGTTATGTTTGTCTTACAATGAGTCGTTCTAAACGAAAGGTATGTACAATGTTTTTTCACTTCTAACATCCAACATACCTTTTCAGATTGTAGGTGGTTCCACTCTTAGAGGTCTAAAGAGACTACCAAACGCCGTCACTGTTAGCGATGCAAATATGCAATATGCAGTAGATGAACTGCCAGAAGATCTTAGAACCCTTTTTATGGGGTACCTTACTCAAGTTAGTGGGCACAGAGCACAGAAGAAGCAGACAGAGCTTATGAACGGATTCAGTGACCATTTTTCTGAAAAATAATACTAATAACAGTGTGTGTGTGTGTGTGTTTGTGATACAAATAAGGATACATAGTACCATACGAGTGCGTGAAAAGGCATACAGATTGTTTAAATTCTAACGCACGTACAAACAACAACAAAAAATTATATAGAAGTTTATGGTAATTAAATGAGGTTTGTTTTTCTTTGAAGAGGCTATGAACAGAGAAGACTTTCATTCATAAACATACATATGCCTATATACTTAATAATTAGTGAGTTTAGAAAAAAATTACAATCAATATAAGTCGTTTTTTGTAAACACAGATACCTGTCTTGTAGTTGACATACAAATAGACAAACAAACATAACTTTTATTGTAACAGCGATATCAAAATGAACAGTAATAATGTCTAAAAGTGAAGAATGTTATTGTTTCATCAGTCCACAAAATAAGAGTAGCGGGCAGATTAACTGATTTTCTGGTCACTACGCGTTTGATAAAAATTATGTATGAGAATTGGGGCTTTTGGAGTTGTATCTACTGTTTATCTATCTGTTTGTAGCTTCGAATCTGCTGTCTGTGTAGGCTGAGTTAATTTGTTCAATGAAAACATTTTCCCGTTTTCCATTTTTGTTGATTGTAAAATATTTATCTGAACGTTTAAGTACCTTGGTACAGAGGTTACAGTCCTTTTCTGATAGCATTGACTCGAATAAAGACAAATTTGCTAGTTTCCAGATGCTTGCTGACCTAATCTCTTTGGGGAGGTTGTAGAGGTACTGTTGGCTGAAGTTGAGGCAATTGTTTAGTTAATCGGTCAGTGAAGTCAGCAATATTCACATCTGTTGAATCATGTGAGGGAACTAGTTGTCCATCCAAAGCAAGAGTAGTACCATAAACGAGTTGGTCTGGTGTACATCCAAAGTTACATTTGACAGTCGATGGGAGGATCAGTAGGATCAACGGTGAGTGTTCACTCCACTTGGATCTGTCAGTCTGAGCCATCAGGCAGCTTTTTAGTTGTCTATGGTATCGTTTCATAAGACCCTTGGCTGCCGGACGATATTTTATCGTGGAGATATGATTCACTGCAAGCAGTTTCATTAGTTCATGAAAAAGAGTTGACTGGAACTGGGCTCCTCAGTCGGATGTAAATGTAGTTGGTACTCCATAATTTGATATCCAGTGATCAACAAACCAAAAGTAACATTCTGTGCAGGTACATTGTCTGACTAACCTCCTCAGCCTCGAATATTGTGTAGATATTCCATATCCGTATGCTCATTTTGCCTTCATCGGAAAAGGATAAAAGGATTGACTGGCTTCCCAAATCTTTTTGCCAGCCAGCATTATTTTGTATTTCCACTTTCAGAAAAGGAAGTTCATTCTTTGTAGTTCGTCTGTGCTTTGAAGTTTCTGAACTGATGAACTGATTTTTTGGAACAGAGTGCTAATCCCTACCCAACATTTCCTATTTTTCCGCATTTAAAACCGCCTAATAAACTAGTAAACAAAGGAGCTGGACGAGGTTAAAACTGATAGCCAGGACATCATTTTATTTGCATGATTATGAGTAGCACCCATCCATCATGTGAATGAATCATAGGAAAATATCCATAAGTCGTAACAAGACGGAGGTTATGAAAATAACCAGCCAACCAACAACAACAACATCCAGCCACTAGCCAATCACCATCATCGGGAGGGATTTCAAAGAGGTTACTTCATTCACTTACCTAGGGAGGGAGCATTGTCTCAACTACAGGAGGAACGGACAAGGATGTCAAATCAAAAATCGGAAAGGCGAGAAACACATTCATCAATCTGAAACCAATATGGAAATCCTCGTCAATCAACTCAGCATCAACAACAAAATTCAGTCGGATTTTCAATACAAACGTCAACTCAGTCAGTTCTTCTATACGGATCAGAAACTTGGCCGGAAGGTCACTAAGAATATTTCCAACAGCCTGTTGCAGACCGGACCTTTATCAACAACTGTCTTCGCTGGATCTATAATGAAGATCAGATGGCCTGGCCGGGCCGGGCCGGAAGGAATCACCAACAACAAACTATGGGAACAAACAATCAAAACAAGAACCAATGGCCAACCAACAAATATGCAATAGAAAGTGGAGATGGATTGGACACTAGCTGAGGAGGCCGCTGAGTGACATCGCGCGCGCGTGAGTCCATTGCTCGAGTGGCACCAGGCCACCATCATCGTAATTATGATGAATTAGAAAGAAAAAAACAGACTGCAAAATCCGGTTAATTCACGATCTGAATGGCTATCGGGTATCCTAGTTCAGATGATGAATCGTAGAACTGATAATTCGAAGGCCACCTGTCTGAATTCTGACATATCTCAAAATCAGCTTCAATCAGCATCCACTGCATTCATTGCAGTCTGCCTACCAGAGACTATCATCATGAAATAAATGTTTGAAAAAACGGCATGCAGATTTCAGTGAATTCACTGTAAATGTGTACACAGATATATGAATTTCAGTGTCGATTTCATCACAAACCTACATCACTTAGAGAATTATTGAAAACCAGGGAGCGAAGCACAATTGTTTCACCCTAGTTTCTAGCTGGCCGGCAGTGCACACTGATGACCTCACTAAGGATCGAAGCCACAAACTTTAGGTCTCGTGGCTACCTCGTTGAATATTGAGTAAATGAGTCGGAATACAACAAGCCGAGGATCCACACTTTGTTAATTCCTGATATAGTCCTACCAATAATTAATGCCATCGATGAGCAGCTACTTCACTCTAACATTGTGAAACTTAATGGCCACCACCACGACACATATCTAGTGGCTTCCAATAAGCTGGATGGTGATATTCAGACAGTAGGACTTTTGTCGATTTCGATTAAGCTCAATATCGATTCATCTGGGTTACCAAAAATCCAGTCACTTATTAAAAAAGAGCCACTGTCTTCATTTTATCCCCACTTCATTTGAATTAGTCACTTAAACATGTATTTCTTTACACACTTTTTACCCTTTGCATGTACTTTTAATTTCAAGGCTATAAACTGTAAGAGATAAGCAGTTTGTGATTGAACAACTACCCACTAAAAGGTGTAAATATTACGTAAAATAATTGCAATAAAAGTAGAATAGATATCTTTCAACATGCATAAAATGCTTTTAAGGTCATGTCGTATTGATTAAATGCGTGTGAGCAAAGCATAAATACTCAATATGTTGATTATTACACGTAGTTGATTTATCCAGATTTTGTTTTGTTTAAATTACTATCATAACAAAAAGTAATTTCTGCCGCCATTTTACTTCAATTGTGCCTGAATCTTTGGATTATTATAAACCTTCTGAATCTCCGTTAGACATACCAAGCTGACACTTTTACCTGGTTCTAGTAAGTTATCCCACTTATTTAATAGGAAGCCCCATAAACAAACACATTCTGGCTAACTTAAAGAGTTTATTTTCTTTTCATAAGATTTAGTTATAATTTATGTACTTAAAGGATACTGAGTCGAATTGTTGTATTCAGAGATGCATGTTGGTACCACAGTTATGAAGATGTTTTAGTGAATGTTGTTAGTAGTCACAAGATATTGATTTAGAGAAGCGAAACGTTATTCAAAGGGTCGGACAATTACCCAGCGCTTCACGAAAAGAATTTAAAACAGGCTTCAGACTCCCAACAACATATTGAAGATCACATAGCTAGCCGGAGGGAATTATCAGTAAGAAACTCTAGTAACGAGCCAATCAAGGACGTATTGATTAAAAATATGCAGAGGAAGATGAAAATGCATCAGACACAAGCTGAGGAGACCGTCGTGTGACATAGCATATGAGGCTATCGGTACAGTGTGACCCGAGTGGGAGTCGATGAGTTTGGGATTGGTCCGGGAGTGATATGGAGGAGATCGTACGAAAAGAAAATGAAAGACAATGATTAATCGTGGGGCCATTTGAAGAGGAATTCAAAGAACGGGACAAATCGGAGTTATTGAGCTGAAATCCTATGTTCCACTCCGGACCAAAGGAAATAATAATATAATTTGAATGAAGTTGTTTAGTAAGAAGTTTTTTTCGGTGATTTTGCAGTTATTTACATATATATATATATAGCAGTTTAATTCCACCCGGATTTAAATGACACAATTTTCAACTTCACTCATTCATGGAGTGATAATTAAACAAAACTTTCCAAAATCGTTTTATACAATTAGTTTATAATTCTGTAGGTAATTATTCCAGAATGATTTAATTGCATAATATGATAATTGGGATGTTTTATTCAACATGAATTTTAACTATTTCGCATTTGAAAATTAAATACAAATATTTTTTTAAAATTTAAACAATCGGTACTTTTGTTGAAAATATTTTACAGTGTTAAATGGCTATTAGTAGCTGCTAGAACTTTCTGCACCTGTGTCTTTCAGACATTAACGCGGTGTATGCCTAATACCTAATTTAGTTGGACTTTTAGTGTCATTCAGTGTTATGATCAGAGATATTTTTCAGTGAACTATTTAGGTACTGGCTAGATTAGTGAAGCAGTGTCAGATACATTGACTGGCCAGCAAGCATTATTTAATTTCATGCTGTTTTTTTTCTTTACTGATGCCTTCCAGCCAGTTAACATCCTTTAATGGTGTAATGCATCACTGAGTATCTCCGAGTTCGGTGAGAGAACTGCACAATTAACCGTTTGAACTCGATTAATACTGGACTATATAGTTTATATTACTGCAAAGAAACTAAATAAAGCATATTATCCGGTTTGAACTACAGCTACAGCGATACAAAAAGAATTCATAGGTTTTCAAGTGATGGTTTGTAGGGATTTGATTAGTTTCAGGATTTCATCATGAGCTGACATTAGTTAGAGAACCGTTGGAAAACCCAGGAGTACTGGACAGCTATTTGTCCTAGTTTGGGACTCCGTCTCAGCAGTACGCACCCCCCGGGATTCGAACCCAGGACCTTCCGGTTACAAGGCAAGCTCGTATACCATTAAGCCAAATACCATTAATCAAATGCCTACAAACCATCAAAAGAATACCAATGAGATGCTCACTGGCGACTGGCCCTATTCAGGTCGAGTGTGAGGACAAATACTCGCCGAAGACATTGGCTAGCGGTTGCGCTATATCGTGAATTGGCAGAAGTTAGAATTCATGGGCCATTGGATCGGGTCCCAGCGGCTTAATGGTATACGAGCTTGTCTTGTAACCGGAAGGTCCTGGGTTCGAATCCCGGGGGGTGCGTACTGCTGAGACGGAGTCCCAAACTAGGACGAAATAGCTGTCCAGTACTCCTGGGTTTTCCAACGGTTCTCTAACTAATGTCAGCTCACGATGAAATCCTGAAATTCATACGTTTATTGACCCTTTTATTTATTTTTTCGAATTTCAAGAAATTTGTATAACCTCTTGCGAATCTCAGTTTGTTTTATTTTATTTATTTTATTCCTTTACATTCCGCTTGGAATGTACGGTTTCAGGCTTGACCTTTAAAGTTTCGGTAGCAATAGTGTTGTTATTTTTACTGGGTGGGGTTGCTAGCCTTACCTACTCCTACCTTATTATTGGCTTAGAGAGGTTTAGGAGTACGTCTGCGAGGGCCGAGTTCAGGACTAAATGCGTAGTTGGCAAGCATTCTACTGCTGGACCACTGACGCATAAAAAATCTCATTGACAAACACTAATTCAAGAAAAGTAGAAACATATGACTAGGTTTTACCTAGCTGTCAATAGTTATACAACTGAAACTGAAATTTGTATACAAAACTAAGATACTACTTATATTCATAGATCAACGCTATTGATGTTAGATGGTTGGAGGGCAATTGGTCACAGGAAGCCTTCAACCTAGGTTTCGTGCTAGTTGGCACTCGTCATCAAGGTGCACCTGCAACCTCGAAGGAGCTCATGTCCCTTCTGAGATTCGAACACGCGTCACCCAGTTCTGCAGTCAGAGACGTTACCACTGAGCTATTCGGGCTCGCTATCGACCTCCTTCCTGTAGGGCTTTATTGGATACTTTGACTGGACATAGGTTAGTAAATATTGTCTACAAATGTGAAAAAGCGAATTGTTTACCCTTTGAATATGACCTCTGTTTTGCTATTATTCATTATCTTTATCCTTTACTTTGTGATGAAAATGACTTGCCTGAAAGTCTATCTGAAAAGACTGCTGAAAAACTATCCGTTATTTATTTTCCTAAAAAACCAATAGAGAGATAGTTGGGTAAATTTTGTCTAAAGGATAGAAAGCACAGATAATACAAACGTATATAAAGGCAGACTTTCATATTCTAGTTATGATATAAAGATTTTAAAAATGACTTAGCTTGGTTTAAGTTGTTTTTTGCTAGATTAGACTTAATTCCAAAACAGTAACTAACTTGTCACTTGTTCAAATCCTAACCTGAAGATTCTGCCTGCTTTCCATGATCTCATCATGGATATAATAATAACAAACATTTGATTTGCAGTGGTCTGTTCCCTAACGTCAGCCGATGATGAAACCTACCTGGAGATAAACAGCTTTCAATTTTTATCATATTCTCTGTTTGTCGAATGACACATTCCTGCCTACATTATGACATACTGTCACCTTAAGCGTTAAATATCCCACATAGCATGAGAAGCTAATTAGTACCTCTAGTGACTTCAAATGCTAGAAATTTGGACTACTGTGAAAAATGCAACAGAATAGATTTTTAACTGAAATCTAAATAATAATTTAAGAAAGTGTGATGCATTAAATGAATTTACACAATATGTTGCTAGACTTTTAGGATTCTAACATAATTTGAATTCATTTATAATTCTAAGTTATATTAAAGAACCTTTCTCAAAAACGAAAGGTTTACGAAAATCATTGAGGTGCTTGCATCCATCCAATTATTTTATCATAGAAACTTAACTTGATATGCTAAAACACAAACAGTTTAAACCACGGCTTCTAAGTATTTTCATTGCCTTAGAAAATTAAGTTACCATAATTAATCTGGACAGAGATTTTTACCTGAAAAAAATGATGTGTGTGCACGATACATTTTGAATAGTTTGACCATATATCAAGCTGCCTATGATGTCACCAACAACATCAGAGGCCCATAGGCAGCAGGAATCAATCTCCTACAGGATCATGGAAGCAAGTATGAATCAAAACGTGTGGTATTTTTAAAAGTGTGAAGTTCTATGCACTCACAAACAGTTCAAATCAAGAGGAGAAGGAAAACTTCTGCAGGCACCTAAAAGCAGGAATTCATAAGTCTCTAAATGGTGACATAAAAATCTTAATGCGTGGTATGAACAGTGCTATCTTCTCTGATTCAGCGGACAGGGAACACCAGGCTAAAAAAGGAACAGGTATTTATAGTTATATATTAAGTGGTTAATACCTTTTTATGAAGGATCGACACTATGGGTATAAGAATCAATAAAAATAAGCCTAACCAATGCACTAACCTTTATGCCTACCTTGGCCTACAAAAGATCAAGAAAATAATAATCTCATACCATCATGCCTGGTTACCTCTTTTTACACCTTAATGACCTCTTATCTAATATTCTTACTCCTTCACACCTAGTTAACCTTAATACTACGAATACCATCCATATTTTAAAACAAGACAAGCTTTCATTACTCTCAAGACTGTGTGGAGGTCAGCAGCACTCAGCATCAAAAATAACATCCGGATTTTAAACTCCAGTGTGAAGTCAGTCAGTGCTATTATACGGATGGATCAGAGACTTGCACTGTGCGTCACAGAGAGCATCTCCAACAAACTTCAGACCTTCATTAACAGTTGTCTTCGCCCAATACTCAAGATCAGATGCCTGGCTAGAAAAGATCAGAAACAGGGTGGGATCGCTGGCAATGAGCGAACCAACACAGCAGGAACCGATTGTGAAACAAATAGGCAGGAAGAAATGGAGATGGATTGGCCAGCCATACTCTGAGGAAACCATCAAGTGACATCACTAGACAAGCCATTGCTCGAGTGGAACCCGAAAGGGAAGCGGGTGGCGAGTTGGTCGTCAGTGCAAGGGTGATTTGGAGGAGGTCATGTGAAGAGAAGATGAAAGCGTGTGGGCAGACTTGGAGCGGGTTGAGAACGTTGGTAGAGAAGGGAATGCAGTGGAGACGTTTGGTTGAAGCCCTATGTTCCTCTAGGAATTAAAGGATATAATAATAATATAATAATTTTAAATTTACGCTACCCTAATCTAATTTATTTACTGTATTCGCTAGACCCCTGATTCCACTGGTTCTAACTCACTTCATGTAATCTGAAATACAAATTTCACAAACACCCAATCTTAATAGAAATTTCGTCATGAACCAGCACCAGTCTGAGAGTCATTAAACACTGAACAACTATTTCGTCCAAGTTATGGACTCTCCACCAGCTCGCACCTACGGCCCTACCATCGATCGAAGCGAAGACCTGAAGGCTGTGACATCAGCACCTTGACGACTGAGCCACAGAGCTGGAATTCTAACTTTTGTGAATTCGCCATATTGGTGCACCACCAAACAATGCCATTGACATGGTAGAGATCACTGACCAAATGACCACTAGATAACGAGAATGTATATGAGGATTCCATGCTTTATCTTGAATTCCCCATAACTGTCAAGTGAATTATAAGGTGGTGCCAGAAATTGTACTTACAAATCCTGAATAATGAACTCTTATAGTGAATTGTAGACAAACTGTGGACACATGGTTCAAACCTCGGTCGGAACATCATCACTCACTGCGGAGTGCAGGTACATCCAGAGGACGAGACCCAAATAGGACGAAATGCGCATCCTGGATTACACTGCTAATCACCATCCACCAGATAACTTTTAATGTCTTCAGAAAATTAAAAAAAAACATTTTATTCACCGACTAGCATAAATGAATCGTGTCAGTAGTTCAATGATGAGATGCTCCGCAATCACACCGCAGATATATATATATAAAGAATTATTAATGTAAGAGAACACAATTTTCCTCCTTTTTCCTTAATCCGTTTCCAGCTTGGAAATATGCACCAGAAGGAGTACAGGTCAAAAGTGTATATGATCCAACTCTGAATAAAAAATCGATGAAATAGCCGCTTCCTTTCCGTAGATCACAGAAAATCTAGTCTGTCTAACTTCACTAATTTGTTTCTGTTTTCAGAAAAGGTCAAGAAATTCAAGTTTTTGAATTCAACACTGATTCCGAATAAGATTATAACAATAACTGACAGATAACTATTGTCGTCTACCTTCAAATATAAAAAAAAAAATAAAATATATACTTTAAACCAGTCATAAGTTAAATGTTAAAATCTTTTAGCGTATCCGTCCCCCTATATTTCTGTAAGCTTTGGACAAAAACACTGTTTACTTACTATGAACTTATCTTGATTGTCATTACCAGAAGTTTAACATCGAATTTTATTGACACAGTTATTACTTTATTCGCCTTTTTAACCGTTCCTTGTTCTTATTATTATTATTACTACTATTATTATAGTTCATATTTCTTTTTGCATTTATTGATCTTGTTTTTGTTTTCATAAGTTCATAAGTTCATCACTATTTCAAGTTGATTGGCTGTTCATTCATTGAGTTGTGTCTACAGAATCTTTTTTTTTCTCTCTCTCTCTCGCTTCGATTAGATCACGCTAAATATATATAACTCCACGTATACACTGCACAATATGCAAAACTAGCTTGGTCAAAAAAATGTCTGAAACGACTGGAATATTCACAAAATATTGTTGTATATCAAAACGACTAGATGGAAAGTTGGCTATTGTCACTGGATCTAGTACAGGAATAGGTTTGATGACTGCTGGTGAATTAGCTCGTCGTGGTGCTAAAGTGATTATGGCGTGCAGAAATTTATCGAAAGCTGAAAATGCTAGAAAATATCTATTAGACAGGTATGGAGTTGATAATCCAGATGGCATGAATATTGATATTGCATGTAAAGAGGTCAAATCGTCGCTGACTTTAATAAAACAGGATCAAGTGAGTTGAAATTTCCCTGTACAAAAAATTAGATGCTAAATCATCATCATTATGATTTTAATGAGTAAACTATGATATGTTTTGTGTCCACCTTTAAAGTTAGGAAATAATAATAATAATTAAAACTCCTGGTGAATAGGATTCTACACCATATAGTGGATCTGCTGCAGTACTGTAATCTGTTTTTTTTATAAACTTATCCTAGGTCGTCAAACGGTACATAGCTTCATTGTAAGTTAGGGGAAATAGTCTGCTTGAAAACACCTACCACTATGGCTAAATAAAGGTGTTGTTTTGAAAGCGGCAGCAGTTCTATATGAGATCACCTCATTCAAACAGGCTATAAGGCTATCATTGAAGACCCATTTTCTATCGTCTGTCGGGTATCGAATAAATTACCAAGGGCTTCTAGATAATGAACATTCCAAATAGCATAGGTCATTGCAATTCGTCTACATCAGCTGGAATTCTGAGTGCAAAAGAAACAGGTCCAGCGGCTATTACTACCATGACAAACTTTTTTTTTATTCCTTTATGTTCCCAGTCGAACATGGGGTTTCAGGCTCGAGGCTTGAAGGTTTGGGACTTGAGGTAAAGGAGTGCTTCGGCAAGGGATTGAACCCCGGACCACTTGTATGGTCGACGAGCCCTCTACCGCTGTGCCACCGAAGCAATGGCCAACTTTCGAGCGTATAAGTTCATAAATTGTGTATTCATTCCATTAATTTATCTGATACTCGGTGAATTTTTATATTAACATACTAGACTGTTATTTATGAACTTTCACTACCTCAGTAAGTGTAGAAATAGACTTAATTAAAACGGATTTGTTAGACGCCTAATCACATTAATTCTCTGTGATGCTAGCACTCAAGAGGAAACTTAAGCTACATAGCTGAAGGCAAACGCTATAGTACTGAGATAAAATATATAGTATTTCACCATATTAAGGTTGGAAAATGATTAGGTAAGTATTCGTTTGTGAGTGTAATGAAAATACTGGGATAGTTTAAAACTATGGTGTGCTTTAAAAAATTAAAATACACTGACATATTATCTAAGTTTGGGGATCATCGGCAGTACCCACCCCTGCCAGGGTGACATATTAACTCGTTTGCCAATAATTCAGAGGCTTAATTTCATCTGTGGTCAGTGATAACCTCCCAAGTCTATTGATAATGATAACAAATTTCGAGATGAATTATGCTTGATTACTGAGGTTTGGGATTATTTGTAACCAAAGGGGGAAAAACTGCGTCGGTGGCACAGCGGTTAGGACGCTCGCCAACTATGCACATGGTCCGGGGTTTGATCACCGGCCGACTAAATCCTTTACCTCGCTAAGCCAGTAGTGAAGCTGGCAGTGAGACGAAAGGTTGGGCATGTGGCTAGCAGCCTCATCCTGTAAAAGTAAACACTGCTATAGAAACTTCAATCCACTAGCTTGAAGCCCTATGCCCCACAGGAAAACGTAAAGAAAAAACAGGGGGGAAACATGATGAAGATTTTACAGTTCGTTAGTTTTCAAACGGTTGTTAAAGCTTTTGATTGATACTTTACTTATAATGTGAATGATGACAGCACTAAGTAGTTTGCTATATTATTTCACATTCATGTACTAACTAGTACTAGTGTAACACTAGTGGCACACATTGTCTGTATCACACCACCACACTATGAGCTTACACAAGCCTATAGATGTACTTCTAAAGTTTGGATAAAATCTAAACACGGTAATTTTATTTGTAGCTTTAGACGCAACTTATCAAAACTTAATCTATGCTCACTGTGACAGTAATCTCACATCAGTGGGATGAGATTAAAGAAAAGATGTCGATTAATTTCTGATACCTTTGAAATCTGCAAATTAGATTCGATTTTGAACATATTCAGTAATGAGTCTGATTGTAGATATGTGTAAAATTAGATTTTTATTAGCGGTTGTAAGCACTGATACTACTGAAAACATGAACATTCACTATGGAATAACAGTTTTCAGCTGTGAATGTCTTCTAATTCAATGCATTACTGCCTCTCCACATAAAAAAAATTTTTAAGAGCACTGACAGTGTTTGTAAAAAACATTCTCTATAGTCCTCTACCTGGTCAAGAAAGTGGAATTAATTCTCTTAAATTTATGAGAATGGAATATTTTTATATAACGGGAAATTAAAATCTTCAACGATATTGTGTTAACACTGGCAGCAATCACTTTCTATACAGCTTTAGTCTTATTTCAGTGACCTCTCTATTTAGCAATATAACTGAATAGTTCACATAACTACATTCAAATCAAGAATTAAATAACAATCTTTCATCTATGATTTAAAAAAAAATACCCAGTGATAAAACATCTTTACAACAGAATGAAATAAATCGTAAAATAATCAGTCAATGACGTTTGAAACCATCGAACACTTCAGAAAATGAAAGCTTTTCAAACAGAACCATTTTTAATGGAGTTGCTGTGGTGAATAATTAAACTTGCAAGATTCTTGCAATCTTAATGATAAATTGATAATCCAAGGTCAAATAAAAGATGTTTAAAATTACCTTTCTGTCATTGTTTTTAAAATTTATTCTTTAGTTAATTATCGAACATCTGGATTTGGCTTCTTTAGAATCAATTTACAATTTTGCAAGAAGAATTAATAACGCATATACAAACCTGGAAATACTGATTAATAATGCTGGTCTAGCCCACAGTAAATACGAGAAGACTGTTGATGGCTTTGAAATGACTATGGGTGTTAACTATTTTGGACCTTTTCTGTTAACAGAATTATTGTTACCGCTGATAAAACTTTCAGCTCCATCGCGTATAATAAATGTGTCATCTATGGCGCATTATGCTGGTCGTATCAGCAGGCCGGATTTACAACTTCAAGAAAGTGAATATGGTGAATTGAAAGCTTACTGTCAGTCAAAGTTAGCCAATGTCTTACATGCTACTGAATTAGGCGAAGCAATGCACGGACTGGAGTCACTGTGGTTAGTCTACATCCTGGAGCAGTGAAGACGGAACTTGATCGAGATACAACTTACTTGCCACTTGTAGGTTTGTTTGTCTGTGACTTAACTGTGACCAGGGCATTTCTTTCCCATATTTACAAACATTTGTTGAATTGTAGTAGTAGTAGTAGTACTTAAGAAATTGAGAAGAGTTTTAGCACCCTAAATGGAGGAGATCATGCGAGGAGGAAATGGAGGCTTATGCGTAATTGTGGAACTAGCTAAAGAGGACTGCAGGGAACAGGAGGTAGCGAAGATATGCCCTGCTGAAGCCCTATGTTCCACTCAAAACCCTGGAGGAATAATAACAATAATGTGACTTCAATATATATATATATATATATACATTAAAAAGTATGCATCCAGGTTCTAGTGTTTAAACTTTGAGCATAACTTCACTCCTGTTGAAGTTGATCCGTTTCTTTGCCTTTCCTCTCCAGGCTTGAATTAATTTCAGTAAAATTTAAAGATTATCATTTGACGTCATTTATACCGCCTAGTAATTTAGTAGTAACCTCTCCGACTAAAATACTGCGTGGTGCAGGTTCAAATCTCAGTGAAGATATCAATTTCATCGAGACTGCACATACGCCTTTTTATTGACAGTCAATGGACGCGTAACCTACGTTTAAATATTTTGTTCACTACGTCGAAAACGTCAACACTAAACAATTTCTTAAAGGGTATGGCCATCTCTTCATTTGATTGGTGAAAATCAAATGTTTGCGATTAAATACCTTATTATTCACTTCATAAGTAGTATCTTTGGACTGTAAACTAATCCGAGACTCAAAAATCTAAACATTTAAATCCCATTTGACGAATATTACTTCTGGATGCTGAATAATATCCTAGGTGTTACGCCCTAGGATAAAGCATAAACAACAGTCTGCGCAGAACAAGATATCAACATCATTTATTTTGTTGGCTTTTCATCAGCTGTGTATAGCCTAAATAAACTGTCACATTAATGTACAAAACAGTGTTTAATATATTCAAGTTTATTTAAACAAAAATAAGAGGCTAGATACAATGGCAAAAGAGTTAAGTAATCGAGACAAGGGGTGAATAAGATGATGCGTAACTAGTGAAATGAGTAACAGTCTCGTGAGTCCAGGTTGAATCATAGAAACAAGTTTCATTATATCAAAGGAGAGAGTGGTTAAAGCCTAAGATTACGTAGCCAAATGAGCGAGTAAAGACAGCCAGTTGCTAGGGCAAGAAAAGTCTGATTACGGCTTCTTTTTGAACACTTATATTGGGTTTCATGTGTTTAATAGAGATTGTTTTGGCATAACTGAGGAGAGAATTGAGATATTCTGTCTATTGGTGATTTCAGACGATTTAGTAATATTCACCCCTGTCTCATATTGATAAGATGTCTGACAATGGCAAATGTTTTTTTCCTTTGAGACGTAGGCCTTTTGATACATGTTCAGAAACTCGGAGGTGCACCTTTCCTTCTGTTTTCCAAATGTAACTGCGATCTCAGCTGCATGCAAATTTGTATACGTAGTTAGAATTAACATCAGAAGGGTATCTATTGACTTTTGATTGCACCAAGGAGCATGTCGTCCAATAAACGGGAATCAACTTAGCTGCAGGATACGCTCTAGCTAGTGACGTACTCAATCTTCTGTTGACTAATGCTGCTATATTGTCGCCTTTAAAATCAAGTTCAGTGAAGATGGGCTTTTGTCCCACGGTGATGTGTTTGGCTTTCCGGCTTTTGTTCTATGTCGTTCTCATTCACAGCACAACTGATCATCCTTCTGAATGGTTGATTTATTAAAATTTGAAGTAAAAATGAACACTGCATCAAATTTATTCATTGTTTTATGCGATTGTTTTTTTTTAAAAATATTTTGTGTAGAAAATATTCATCAAGTTGACGAAACCATTTTACATGAATCCCTGGCAAGGTGCACAAACAACACTATTCACTGTTTTGTCAAATAACTTAAAATCTGGTGGTTATTACTCGAACTGTTCACTGAAACAACCATCGTCAATTGTTGAGAAGAAAGAAGTAAGAAAGTGGTTTAGGCAGAGAACATGTGAACTGTTAAGCATTGCAGATAGCGTCTAAACAATAAGAATTAATAACAACAGAGACAAGAATCAAAACCTGAGTAATCTGTTTTCCATGCATGTATTTTCTTATTATTACTTTTTTAGAATAATTCCATACCCTTTAGTTGTCTTTATAAATTTTTGAGGAACAAGAACAATAAAGATTGTGGAGTGAATTGAATTCAGTTTTATCTGGTGTGCTGTAAAACGTACACATACTTATTGTATTGAAAATGTGTAAAGAATGTAATGGTTTAAGATATCCTTGTCGAGAGATATGTCTGCTAGGATTCCTGGATTTCACCCAGGCGGCCCAGGTTCCACTCCCGGCTCGGGAGCGCTTTTGTGCGTCGGTGGAATAGCGGTTAGGACGCCCGCCGACTATGCACATGGTCCGGGATTCGAACCGCGGCCGACTCACTCCTTTACCTCACTCAGCCAGAAGTAAAGCTGGTAAAGAGGAGGATTGGGCATGAGGCTAGCAACCCCATCCTGTAAAAAGAAACACCACTGCTAACGAAACTTCAAACCTTGAGCTTGAAGCCCTATGTTCCACTGCAGATGTGAAAAAAAAATAATGAAAACAAAACACGTAGATCAGCGAAGAGTCTCTTTTCGGCGAATTCATTTTCTTAGCTGTACAATCGCAAATATATATGCATTGTTTTGTATGTATGTGGACATTAAGTTTGTCAAACAAAGTTACAATTGGTTAAGGTTACTTTTAACTAAACAAGTGAAAGTTGGTAATACAGGTCAAGAAAATTAAGTGCTAATGAAACTAGGGTAGTAAAAAAATGATGAGTTGTCACAAACAGTTGTTAAAAGAAGTTATGCAATAATAATATGAATAGTTTGATGAGTGAGTTTTACTCAGGATGCACATAGAAACAAAGTAGATAATACGAAACTATGTAAGAGATTTAAGTGAATACAAGAATTATAAGCAATTAAGGAACAGGCAAAGAAACAAAATTAAGTCATCAAAATAAAAATAAAAGCTCAAAACAAATCAAAACATTGTTACCATGAGAGTAGAAGTGGTTGAGTAATCTTCTTTTGTATGCACAGCTCCGGTTTTTCCATGTGAATGGCCAGAGCTTCAGCGATGCAAAGGAGACGAAACCGTATTGCCTTTGATATGTTATTCTTGACTCTGTAGATTACTTTGAAGGAGGCGTTCGTTGAAATGCAATGATCAGTGTTGACCAGGTGTTCAATTATCGCACTCCTTATTGCACCAGTATTGCCTTTTCGCAACCATGCTGGATAATGTTCTTGAATTCTCTTGGACAGGATGCGCGTCGAACGACCGATGTACCTGGCTCCACAGCAGCAGGTGAACTGGTATATGCACATAGAAGTGGCCAGATGCGGGATCTTGTCCTTGAGGCTTCTGCAGATCAGTGGGCGACTGGAGAACACTATTCGTAGCGTTGCTGCAAAGAACGTTCTTCTCAGAGATGATGTGATCCTTCTCTTGAGAATATCGCTTGCTAAATCTCCCTTGAAATCCAAATTCATGTAGATTTTCTTTTTAGGCACAGTTAAAGTTTCGTTTTTCCGAATTATTGGTTTCATATTTTTGTCGATAAATCTTATTGGGTATCCATTTTGGATGAATATTTCTCTCAGAATATCTAATTCTGTTTCCAGAACGTCGGGACTACAGATGCGTCGGATGCGGGTAGCAAGTGATTTAATTAAGTTTCGCTTTTGTTGAATGGGCACCCAGCTATAGAAGCTTGTTAGTTGACCATTCCACGTAGGTTTTCTATGGATTGATCTTCTTAGGCTCCCATCAGCTCTTCTTGTCAGTTCCACATCAAGAAACGGAATTTTTGACTCGTTTTCCATTTCAAGAGTGAATTTTATTGCTGGATGGCAATTGTTAAATGTCTTCAGCAGCAGATTGGGGTCGTTGTTGTTGTCACAAATAATGAAAATGTCATCCACGTATCTTTTATACAGTCGCAAATTGTCGATGCTTGGCTTTAGTGAACCTCTCAAATAAGTATTTCCACATTTACATGTCAGTACATATATATATATATATATATATATATATATATATATATATATATGAGACAGAAAACGACGCAGTTCATGATCTGATTACTCAGTACATACAAAATCAAAAATGATCAATAAATTAACAGATGACTTACAAAAAATCTGACAAAAAAAAATAATTCAACAAAAATATCAAGAAGATGTGATTCATCTGAATCGCGTAGTGTATTTGCGCAATACAAGTTGAATAGTGACTCCTGAGTCCATTAAGGGATAAACGCAAATGGAATCCCATGAATATATTAATAGTGGAAACAGAGCCCCTAACGACGAGGAAAAACAATTTGTCATCACACTGAACCTTCCTTGGTAAATTTTGTTTTGACACCATGACAGGTATACTATCAGCTTTCTTCTTTGGTTTATTGATCTCCATTGTAGTTTCGACCTTCAATATGGCCTATTAAATTGATCTGTGTCTATTCTTTCACACCTTAACGCTTTACCATTTTCACATATACATATATATTTCTGTGACAAGTAAGTAGGTGATCAGATTGTTCGACATGTTGTGCTCAAGTACACTGAACGATTCAGATGAATTACATCTTCTCATTGTTTTCTCAGAATTCACAATAGGGGACTAATTGTTTCAATCATAATACTCATAATGTGTGACTAGGATTCAAGGTGGTGGTTGTTTTATCCCTTGTTATCTGATTTTAAGAGGAGCAACCCAAAAGGTCGCTACTCTCTAAACATTATCTTATGTAACTATTCCTTTCTCAGGCGTGAGGCTAGCAACCCCACCTTGTAAACAAAATTGCTACAGAAACTTCAGCACGATGAACCTCTTTGCACCAAAAGAAAAAGGTGGTGGACAGGACAGTTAAAATATGACAAGGGGTGAGAAAACGTTTAAGCGGTAAACGATAAATTAAGAAACAAGATTGCTATATAATAAAATATAATGGACGGCAACACAAAGTGGAGCACAACATACTTTTACATGTATAGATCAGGCTTCAGACGCTAGATTACTACTGCTCCTATATATCATAGTATTACTGCTCTATGTATTCAGCACACAGGCAGGTGTCCTGAAAGTGATGATGTCGTCTATATCATCTCTGTTCTTCCCACATTGTTGTTGTCAAAACGAACTGAGATTACCTTAATCTATGTAGAATTTTATTTACTGTTAATGTACCCACTGGATGCAATATTGTAGTAAAATGCTGAGAATTCCATTCTGTATCGCAAGTACTGTTTTGGAATAAAGCAAATCATTATTATTACATGTTACTGTAAGTACAGGTAGACGAGTAAATGCGAGTGTAGTTAACATGACACCGTCTCACATCTGGATTTATTACTCTGAGCTATTGTAGACTACTAGTGATGGCGCAGCAGGATACATTACAGTGACAGATGCATTCAATCTACGATTATTCTGAAAATTCACAGCTGAAAGTTCTGATATTTGATTTACTGATTTCTCAATTCCATCATCATTAACAGTTATTTTGTTACAGGATTTCATCATGAGCTGACATTGGTTAGAGAACCATTGAAAAACCTGAGAGTACCGTACAGCTGTCTCGTCCTAGTTTGCAACTCTTCATCAGTACGCACCCACCAGGGTTCGAACCCATGACCTCCTTGATTCAAGGCGAGCTCGTAGACTATTAAGCCACTGTGACCCGATCCAATGTTTGTTCTTTTTCTATCTGGACTTCCATAATGCTGACCATTTTCTGCTAACTTAAGTATCACACGATTGTCACGCAATGAAAAATACATAACAAGTTCAGCGTGATTTTAAAATATTCATATTTAGTAAACATATTATTCAGTCACGTATTTTTCTCCAAGAAATATTTATCTCGAATTAATATTTACACGAAAAATGCACGATTTGTGAATATTTCCCTGAAATTTCATCCACACCTAAATGAGAACACAACACCCTACAGATCCTTTCATTGTTACGGAGAAATTGTCGATATTTATTTTTCTATGCACATTAACTTATAAAGCCAATTTTTAATACAGGTTGTCTGTTCACCCGAAACTGACGTGTGATATAATCTAATCCTTTGCTAGGTTTGAAAAGAATGTTTATCACATTATACTACTCAATGATTTAATCAGTAGTTAAGAGTCGTCTTCATTTTTTTTACTGTACCATATTATAATTATTCGGGTTGAGTAGTGATTTTTTTGGCAAACTGCGTAAGCTTCTGATTTAAAATAATCCACCATGCCGAAACAGGTTTGTTGATACACAAAACAGGCAAAAAGCCAGAGGAAGTAAACAGCTTGGTGAGATTTCTGATAATTGGGAGGAGTTTAATTTTGCTTATCGAGCTATATAGTCTACTGATTATATGCTTCATCACGTTGCACGCACAGCCTTGTATTATTTGAAGATCAAGTACAAAACATCCCAAAAGAAACATTTCAGATCTCTTTCAAGCATTCCTACCGAATTTTCGATTAGCTTTAAAGTTTCACCCATCCTTTACCCGAGTATTCAACTATTTTCGCGAATAATACTCCTTTCACTTCATATTCAGATCCTACTGGATTGTGTGCTCAAACAAATAGTCAGATTCAAGAGGGCAAGAGCTAATGAATTTCTGTTCACTTCACAAAAGCTAAAATGTTTTTTATTCAGCATAAGGCAGGTTTTAGCCTGATTCACTTCCTGCTGAGTCCATGAAAGTGAGACGACGAAGCGTGAATCCACACAGTTAAAATACGTGCAAGTTACCATTCAACTTAAGTGTTCAATTTGGAGTCTTAGTTTCAATCGGTGATTTTATGCGCTATTCGTTAAAAAGGTTCAGAATATAACAATAAGCTGCTCAATTATGTTGATTTCTTAAAGAAAGCATCTCTGAAAAATCCGAAAATGGAATTCAGTTTTAGCCTGAATTATGAAACATTTTCAAAATACAGAAAGTCATCCTCGATAAAATCCTCTCTCTGTGCTATATAGATAAATACTAAATCAAATAAAGAGTTAAAAAAGGTATTCTGAACAGTCGTGCTCCTACAATTAAGTACCTTGAAGCTAACTATACTAAATAAGCCTACATCTGTTGCGCCAAAATACTGGTTATCGTAAATAAGGTACGAACTTGGCAAATCTAAC